TACATTTTCTAGTTTTAAATAAATGGAAACATATAACTATGTATTGGCTGGGTTCGTTCACTCAACATAATTAATGTGAGATTTATCCATGTTGTTGTGTGTATTAATAGTTCATTCCTTCTTATTACCAAGTAGTATTCCTTGTGTGGATATGCTGCAATTTGTTTATTCACTTGTTAATTAACATTTGGGGTATTTCCAGTTTGGGGCTATTACAAATAAAGCTTCTGTGAACATTTATGTCCAAATTGTGGTATGGACATCTGTTCTCTTTTCTCTTGGATAAATACCAAGAGATGAAATGGTTAGATTGTATGGTAGGTGGATGGGTAACTTTTTAAGAAACTGCTAAATTGTTTTCCAATTGTATCATTATATATTCCATCATCAGTGTTAGGAGAGTTCTACTCACTCCATCTCCTTCTCAACACTAGCTATGTTCAGTCTTTTTCATTGTAACCATTGAAATAGTTGTGTCATGGTAGTTCATTTTAGTTTTAATTTGCATTTCCCTGATGACTAATGCCACCACTTGCCTCTCAGTTTGTCACACTGTGGTAGCTTGCATGTTACTATGATAATGGAAACTATGCCACCAATATTTCAAATACCAGCAGGGTCACTCATGGTGGACAGGTTTCAGTAGAGCTTCCAGACTCAGACAGACTAGGAAGAAAGGCTTGGCAATCTGCTTCTGAAAATTAAACCAGGAAAAACCTATGAATCACAACGGAATATTTTCCAGTGTAATATTGGGACATGAGCCCTGTAGGTTGGAAGGCAGCAATAGACTCAAGCATGTCAGACATCATGAGGATGGCGCAGAACCAGGTAGTATTTTGTTCTGTTCTGCATGAGATTGCCGTAAGTTGGAGTCGACTCAACGGCAAGTAATGGCAACAAATGACTAATAAGTTTGAGCATCTTTTCATATGCATGTTTTCCATCTGTAAAAATGGCATGGCAGGGACGTCATCTGACCTCCTCTAACTTCATGATGTGGAAGGAGAATCAAGAACAGCAGCCCAAGGCTGATTCCTGTGAGGCGGAGGTCAGACATGCCTCCTCTCTCTGCCATCCTTAGCAATTCCCCTGCAGAAATGACAGTATATGGCTTCCAAGACTAAGCCATAAAAGTCATTGCAGCTTCCAACTTGCTTTCTCTCTTGGACCATTTGCTCTGGGGGAAGCCAGCTGTCATGCCATGAGGACACTCAAGCAGCTCACTGAAGAGGGCTTTTGGGGAGGAACTGAAGTCTTCTGCCTTCAGGCACGTGAGTGAATCGTCTTGCAAGCAGATCTTCCAGCCCTACTCAAACCTCAGGTCTGCAGTCCTGGCCAACATCTTGACAGCAGCATCGTGAGAGAGCCTGAGCTTGAACCACCCACCTAAGCTGCTCCCAAAATAAATAACCTCTAAAAACTGTGACATATTAAACGTTTATTGTCTTAAGCTCCTAAGTATTGGGGTAATTTGTTATACAGTAGGAGATAACTGATACAATTAGAGATTCAAAATTTACAGTCAGTACAGTGTATCTAAACATTTGTCACTGTAATGAAAACAGTCAGTTCTGAAAACCTAGTAGGTAATACCAGAGAATAAAATTTTTTTGATTACAAAAGATATGAAACAATTTTTAAGACAGTGGGCATCAGGCAACAAAAGACAGTGATTACTGAGAGATGAGAAACAAATCCATGGCCCCTGTGGTTTCCCCAGCTGACTGCACCTAGAGAGCTTCCAGGCTTTGTTGCAGGGAGGGGGAATCTAGGCCGAATCCAGCAGACTCCCTGAGTTGAGATAGAGCTGATAGTCCTGGGAGACCAAGACGGCTAGAGTTCATAGATCAGAGTGCCAGAGAAGAGAGCTTCACAGATAGAGCAGCCTGAGATCTGCAGAAGGTCCACCTCAAGGATTCAGTAGAGTTAGCAGTTGCCATTAAGTTGTTTCTGACTCATGGTAACCCCATGTGTGCAGAGTAGCACTGCTCCATAGGGTTTCCAAGTCTGTGACCTTTCGGAAGCAGATCACCAGACCTGTCTCCTGAGGCTCTTCTGGGTGGGTTCCAACCACCAGCCTTTCAGCTAGTAGTCGAGCGCTTAACCATTTGCACCACCCAGCTGCCTTTTAGAAATATATAGACTGTCCAGTCTCCTAAGTAAAACAAACACAGATGTTTTGTTAGGATTGAAATAAAATTTTCTGAGTAAAAATTCTACTCTATTTGAGATCCTGCACTAGGCACTGGGGATTAAATAATGAGCAAGATCAACATATCCTTACCTTTGTGGCTCTTAGAGGAGTTCATTAGCTACCTAGTATCCCTGGCACCAGTATAATGACTGGTACATAATAGGTGCTTAATGACTACGTTTTGAATAAATGGAAGAAAGGAAGGAATTCATTTAATTGCTCACGTCGATCAGACACCAAAGTCTGTATGTTTTCTACTGTAATTCACTGCCTGACTATCAGATAATAGTATCACTGTGGGAGGGGACTACAAAAAAACAGAAACTCCTGAATGAAAATAAGTAATACTTACTCATACTAAAGAATAATTGATGCCTTTGAATTATGGTGTTGGTGAAGAATATTGAATATACCACGGACTGCTAGAAGAACAAACAAATCTGTCTTGGAAGAAGTACAGCTAGAATGCTCATTAGAGGCGAGGATGGTGAGACTTCATCTCACATACTTTGGACATTATCAGGAGGGACCAGTCCCTGGAGAACGACATCATGCTTGGTAAAGTAGAGGGTCAGCGAAAAGGAGGAAGTCCCTCGACGAGATGGATTGACACAGTGGCTGCAACAATGAGCTCAAACATAACAACGATTGTGAGGATGGTGAAGGACTAGACAATCTTTCATTCTGTTATACGTAGGGTTGCTATAGTTGGAACCAGCTCAACAGCATCTAACAACAATTATGTTGAACCATATGAAATTGCTGTTCTTATAGATAAGTGTGGCCAAATATTGACAATTCCATGTGGTTCAACTTACTGCATGCCAGGCAGTTTGCTAGGTGGTGGGGATTAAGTGGAGCCCTGGTGGCACAGTGGTTAAGAGCTCGGCTGTTGGCCAAAAGGTTGGCAGTTCAAATCCACCAGCCGCTCCTTGGAAACCCTATGGGGCAATCCTACTTTGTCCCACAGGGTTGCTATAAGTCAGAATCAACTCGATGGCAACAGGTTTGGTTTTTTGGGGGGAGGCGGGGAATAAAGTGGAGCCCTGGTGGTGAATGGTTAAGTGCTAACCAAAAGGTTATGGAAAAAAGGTATGGCAGTCTGCTTCCCTAGATTTACAGCCTTGGAAACCCTGTAGGGCAGGTCTACTCTGTCCTAAAGGGTTACTGTGAGTTGGAATCAACTTGATGGCAATGGGTTGGGTTGGAGATAAAATAGAGAATAAGAGAAAATACAGTCTCTGCCCCTCTGGCATTTTACATTCTACTGGGGAGGGCAGACATTAAACAACTGCAGAATCAGTTATTGTTGTGATACCGATGCTTCTCCAATGCCGTGATTCAGTAATTTCAACTCTGAGAACTAGTTCTAAGGAAATAATCCCAAATACACAGATGTTCACTGAAATGTTATTTACCTTGGAGAAAAACTGGGAAGATTCTAACAAAAGAAGAGAAATAGTAGTATCATGATATATCCGCTCAGTTCAATATTATATACAGCCATTAAAAGATCATTATAAAGCATTTTTAAGGTACAACATGAGTAAAAGTATGTAAAAAAGCTTTCATTTACTTGAGATATATTTATTGCACATTTACTAAATGCCCAGGCACTCAGCTGGATACGAAGAATACAGTGGTGAATATCTACAAAATACTTAGCATTTAGTGAAGAAAGCAAACATGTAAGCAGAATTTTAAGACTGCACCATACGTAAGTGCTAAATTAGAGGTACAGATAGGGAAAACACCAAAACATGGAAATTTTTGAATGAAGTCTGTAATGTCAATAAATGCTTTTATTTGGGTCCTAAGATTGTCTATTTTCAACTTTAATCTTTAGGGTTTTCAACTTTACTATAGCGATCATTAATTGCATTGCAAATAGAAAGTAAAGAAATTTAATTTGATTTTAAACTACTCAGAAAAGGTCTTTGAACAATAGTTTTACCAATCAATTGCAGATAGTGTTTATTTAAAGGTCTAGTTCTGTGTTAACCAGAATTGGAAGTATATCTTCTCTACCGTACCCGTTCCCGTCAAGTCGATTCCAATTCATAGCAACCCTATAGGACAGAGTAGAACTACCCCATAGGGTTTCCAAGGAGCAGCTGGTGGATTCGAACAGCTGACCTTTCAGTTAGCAGTCGAGCTCTTAACCACTGCGCCACCAGGGCTCTAGTATCTTCTAGTATCTAGTACAGCTAATTTGAATTTTCAACATGGATGACTAGCGTCTCTGTTTTCAAAAAACTTTCTCAGAATTTTTAATTAAAAAATGAATTATTCCTTCTCCCAACCCCTTCATTGCTATCTATTTGTTAGGGAGGTAAGTCTTTAGTTGCTTTTTATTTTTTTTTTAAAGCTTGTCTGCATTATTTGTGCAACCATTCTTCATTAGGGTATCATGGTCAGTCAGAGTGGTGCTCAGTGATGCTCTTACCAGGTTTTACAGAATGTCTGAGGCCCACTTTCCACACCTGTAAAATGATACCTCACTTACACTTCACTGAGTGGTACTTATTAACATGGGGAGTGCTTGTTATATGTGTTACTTTCCTTCCTTTATTTTCCCAGCCCAAGTCCTGCCTTTGGCCAAAAAGAGCATAATTTTGACCTCTCATTTGGTTACCTTAGTAATTTTGTGACTATACCACTTTTTCTTCTTTTTTTTTTTTTAAAAGGAGAATGAAGTTTATAATGTCTTATTTATTTTTATAACAAATTTGAAGTTACAGGCAGAATGTGCCTTTCTAACAGTTACACTAACGACCTTTTTTCCTTTATTTCTTGTTTCTAGGATATCCAAGAATATTCCGACAACTAAAGATGTTGAACCACTGCTTGAAATCGATGGAGATATAAGAAATTTTGAAGTGTTTCTGTCTTCAAGGACCCCAGTTCTTGTGGCTCGAGATGTAAAAACCTTTTTGCCATGTACTGTGAACCTAGACCCCAAACTACGGGAAATTATTGCAGGTGGTGTGTCAGTAGTAAATTTAATTTTTCTTCTCTGAAGTCCTTTAAAAATGACCTATTTCTAACTCAGTTATGTAAATTTCTCCTATTCCCAAAACCAAGAAATGTTGAATGAAGCGCTACGCAGGAGAGTTAATGACCTTTAGGATTAGAAGTCTTGACTTTTTTGGGGAACGTTAAGAAAGTATTTGTTAAAATCACTTTATTATAATCTTTACTCCCACACACCCCTGGATCCTTACCTTGGAATCAGATTTCCTTTAAGATACAATCATGACTTTAAGACATCAATCCATTGTAATTTTTCTGTCACCAGTCTCCTCTTCTTTATGGGGGTACCTGTCCAGACAGGTAAGAAAATATTTTATTACCCTTTTAATTATAACTTAAACTTGTGGACTGGTATTTGAGGATAGTGATGTTAAAGTTTTGGAATAAATTATATACATGCACACACACACAAATCCTTTATTGAAACACAGTGTCTTTTGTATGCTGTTGACACTACCGATCCACCTTTGAATTTTCCAAGAATTATAAAAGATAGCCCTGAATTACTCTTACATCATTATTGTTCAATACCTGTCATAAGGCTGATGTCAAAGGTGTATTTTGTGACTATGGAATCAGGTATTTTTTTGGTTAAGAGTGAATGATTAATGTAGTTTGCAATCCCCACAGTCTTGGTCAATATTGCTAACACTTTATGAATCATAAAAATTGTTAGAATATCACAAATAAATGTTTTAAAAAACTATGGAAAAATTAATAGCTCTGGTACCTGAAGGGCAGAATCCAGATGTTGGTGACTTTTCAAATGGTGAAAAAGCTTCTATGCAAAGCAGTTGGTCTTTACTTACTAGAAGGTCTGTGGAGTTTTCAAGATTTCCAGTCTCCTTCTTCAACCTATTTTGAATCCCTGGCAAGGGTGATAAAATCATGTGTCTATCAGATAACTAAAGAAGGACGTGGTAATTGGGCTCCTTATGAATGTTTTATTTTCTTTTGCCTTCTGGGGTATAATTCAATCTTTCAGATGTTCGTGCTGCAAGAGAGCAGATTAATATTGGTGGACTTGCATACCCCCCGCTACCTTTGCACGAAGCGCCTCCTAGACCCCCATCAGCTTCCAGCCAGCCTCCATCTGTCTGTTCTTCCACTTCTTTTACTGGACCGTTTGGAGGTGGAGTTGTGTCTCCACAGCCTCATAGCAGCTACTATAGTGGGATGACAGGACCTCAGCACCCGTTCTATAACAGGGTAAGTGAGTGGTAGGAGTTTTTAATTTTAAGAATTTGTTCCAGGGAAATCTCAGTTTTCTGCTTACAGAGTCTATTATTATTTTAAACCTGTTTTTTGGCTTTAAAATCAGGAAAAATGTAAAGTTTAAATTTAAAGTAGATGATTTTCTTAAAAGAATTTTGAATTTTAATGGGTTCTAAATCATAAGTCTGAATATTAAAGATACTTTTTGCTTTTACTTATTTTCTTGATAAGAAAGTAAATGCCACAGAGTCAGTGGTGACTCTCCTGTGCTTCAAAGAAACCTGTTTCACTCTTCATTTGTTAATAAACAAATGCTTCATTTGTTAATAAACAAATGCTTCATTTGTTATATCTTGTATAATGATATATATTGGCATTTAGAACAATGAGAAACTTAAATTTCTATAGTAGTTCAATATTTAGAATATTTTATATCTTCTAAATGTGAGAGAATAATGGGAAAGCAATGCTTATAGGACTCAGATGTTATTGCCAAATAATAGCACTGTAGCCCATGTCTAGGGTTTTATTTCAAATTATCTTCAGTAATTTATAATTGTTCACTTCATATAAATATGATCATTTTCTGGATGAACACATAATTAATTATCAGTGATATACAGACTATCAAGTTTAAGTTTAGTAAGTGCAAGCTATCTATTCTCACTTTAATGATCTTATACACTGATATTTCCTAGGAAAATCGAGCACTTCATGGAGCTTTCCACAACTTTACTTTAATATTCGTCACAATTTCTCGTTTTTGTGATCTCCCTCTTTAGTCTGATTTAAGAAAACACATGCGCTGGTTTTCATAGAAGCCAACTGCCTGCCTAAATAAATTTCATATGAGCTGAGAAGAAAGAAGTTTAGAATAAATGTGGCAAAGAGCAACCTCCAGAATTTAAATTAAATTTACAACTTTTGAAAAATGTCGGCCATGTAAGCAGTTAGGTACCCCATTCATAGAGGCCCTATGAATGCTTTTCCTTCCTTATACTTCAAAAAGGAGAAAAAAGTGGAACAATACCGTTTTATAATCTAGTCCTTCCTTGTAAAATTTAACTCATAGCGACCCTGTAAGACAGAGTAGAACTGCCTCATAGGGTTTCCAAGGAGCACCTGGTGGATTCAAACTGCTGACCTTTGGGTTAGCAGCTGTAGCTCTTAACCACTATGCCACCAGGGTTTTCCAACTGTGTGGTAAGCAGTGTGAAATGCAGGTTTTAATTTGTCATTCTTAAAATCTATTGTAATTCTGCATAAAATGGCTTAATTGAACATTAGATTTCAATTGAAGTCTTGAGACCAAGAAGTTTATTAAAAAAAAAAAAAGATTGTCAGGCTGGTGTTCACTAACTTCATGAATAACAATAATATGGTGATGATGCTTACACAGGAGCCCCGGTGGCTCCATGGTTAAGTGTTGGGCTGCTAACCTAAAGGTTGGCTGTTCAAACCCACCAGCAGCTCTTCGGGACAAAAGACCTGCCAATCTGCTCCCGTAAAGATTACAGCCTAGGAACCCTATGGGGCAGTTCTCTTCTGTCATATAGGGTCGCTATGAGTTGGAATTGACTCAGTGGCACACAAAAACAATAATGCTTACGTAGAATTTTTTTATTTTTTAAACGTTTTAAATTTTCCCTTGTTTTCAAGTTTATTTTTTCTTCTAGTTATCTGTATTTTTAGTCTTAAAGCAGAATAATTCTCTTAAACTATCAGGAAGAGGAAGAAGGTGGTGGAAGATGTTAACTCAGTGTAATGAAGTGTAATGAGTTTTAATATTTATGTTTAGCCTGCTTAATCTAACATTTCCTGTTTACCTGAAATTGGTGACAAATAAATTCTGTAGTTATGATTTCATCTAAGCAGTGTCTTTCTCACCTGTTTTTAAAAATATGCTTGCTTATCTAGTTTAGGGTAAACTCTAGAAACTTGGGATAACTATACTCCTGTAATGCATACCAGGGTGTTCTCTTTTTTTTTGGGTGGGGGGAGGTGTGGTCTTACTTAGAGCTAATCTTTTTTTTGAAAAGGATAGTATTCTGTTAAGATTCCATTGTGCTATTTTCTTTTAAGAAACTGTGAGTTAATATTTGTAAATCACTTACAGCCTATAAAAATGTTAAATAAATAGAAACTCTTGTGTCAGATTGTAAGGTGTAAAACTTTTATTGCTTTAAAAAAAAGCTTATATTAAATGAACAATATAAAAAATGAAATAGTATGTCTAAAGTTTGGGTTTGATATCTTAGGAATACGAGCGAGGCTTTTCTCCCTTTTGTTTTATCATTTGCATTAAATAATCTTGTATTTTATTGGTTTGATTAGTTTCATTTGATAAATCTCATTATACTTTGATTTCTGTAATTGTTTATCCCCTTTTTTTTTGTTACGTGTTTCTTCCATAGCCATTCTTTGCCCCATACCTTTACACGCCAAGGTATTACCCTGGCGCTTCCCAACATCTCATCTCACGTCCATCAGTAAAAACGAGTTTGCCCAGAGATCAGAACAATGGCCTAGTAAGTATATAAAAGGGTAACTGAAATATTAATCTAATAATAAGCATAGATAGCATTAGAAGTCTGGTTATTTCGTTTCTGTAGTAGAAGAGTGCAACTTCGTTTGTAAATAGCTTTAAGAAGCATAAGCTATTACTAACATAAAATATATTTGTTTGTATTTCTGGTTAATATCTATGGAAGGAAAACCACTGCAGCCTCAGCGAGTAAATGTTCAGTTGTTTATTTAGAACCATGGATTTCTGGCTTGTAGTAATGTCGTATTTGTTACCAGAGTGTTTAAAACTAAGCATTTACGTCTGTGAGTTTCTACTGTCATTTTAAAGGACATATGCATATAGTATCTGTATATATGTTAGCCCTATCATGTAAAAATTAGAGGATGTATTGAAAGAACATTTCAGTCTAATGGTAGAAATTAGACAGGATAAAGGGAATTATTCAAACCTACTATTGAATCTGATTAATCCAAAACAAAATACATTTCTGCCTAAAGTATTAGGTGTTCTTGATAATAAACTCAGTTTTACTAACAATTTAAAAAAGAAATATCCTATTAATGTTTTTTTTCTAAATTTTATTTATCTTGTTGTTGAGAGTATCCACAGCAAAACACAGACCAATTCAGCAGTTTCTGTATGTACAATTCACTGACATTGATTACATTCTTCCAGTTGTGCAACGATTCTCACCCTCCTTTTCTGAATTGTTCCTCCCTCATTAACATAAACTTACTGCCCCCTAAGGTTCCTATCTAATCTTTCAACTTGCTGTTGTCAGTTTGATCCCGTACAGATAGTTCTTAAAAGGGCGTAATACTCAAGGCAGACCTTTTTTTACTAGTTAAGTAGACTGTTGTTCAGTTTTCAGATGACTTCAGGGGTCTCTGTAAATGTACTTTTATTAACTAGGAGACAGAAGGCTATAGAAATTAAACTGCCATTAAAACTTTAAAATGTTGTTACTAAAGGAAAAACCTAATCACATAGTGTTTCAGTATTATTTATGAATATTTTTAATGACATCATGTTCATTCATTTATCATATTTTGGTTCATTCCTTCACCATTTCACCCAAACTCTCCTGTTTTGTGTTGGTAGGAAGTTATCAAGGAAGATGCCGCTGAGGGGCTCTCTTCACCCACAGACTCCTCGATGGTAATGGAGTAGTCTTGTGGTGTGGAACTCTAGCGTCTCGTTGCTTCTCCAGCAGTGATGACTGTATTAATTGTGATGATAGCGGTTCACTAACTCTGCATTGCGGTGTGACTGGCAGATAGTGTAGAGTAGCTGAGTACTAATAATTATAGCTCATGAATTAATTAAAAAGCTAATATTTAACTTTTATTTCCTCTTGCTTTTCCCTTTTTCAATTCTTGGAACAGGTTGGGTTTGGTTTTTTTTTTATAATTCTACAGTAAGGAAGGCATTTTTCCAGCAGCCATCAGGAGCATTCAGTTGGTGGTGTTTGTTCCTTATTGTTGAACCCTGTTATCACCTTTGACTGTTTTATCTTAAGCCTACAGTTGGTACTGGAGCCCTGGTGGCGTAGCCGTTAACAGCTCGGCTGCTAACCAAAAGGTCAGCAGTTCGAATCCACCATCCACTCCTTGGAAACCCTATGGGGCCATTCTACTCTGTCCTGTAGGGTTGCTATGAGTTGGAATCAACTCGATGGCATTGAATTTGGTTTTGGTTTGGCAGTTGGTACTATACATGTAGAATATTCTTGAAAATATCCAAAATTGCTCTTGAAGCCCCCCAAAAACATCATGAGCTAGATGGTGTAAACCAAAAATGCGTCTTTAGTAATTCTTAATCCAGATGTCCACAGTTGTTGAAGGCTTGGTGTAAATGCAGTACTATTTTTATCTGTATATTAAAATAAATTTGTCAGATAAACAGAGCTAGTTCAGAATGTGAAGGGATTTTTTTAAACCTTTTTTGCCAACATCTTAAGGTGAGTTTTAAAAAATAAATAACTTGTATAGTTAAGTCTTTTTGTGTGAAATTATTATTCGAGTTTGTACTTCATAAGAAATAGGTTTAATGTGATAAGACATAAAAGAAAGTCTTCATTTAGTCAATCAGTGTGGAATTTAAGAACCCAGTTTGTATTTTAACTTTTGTTGTTTTATTTACAGAATATGTTATGCCTGTGTAAATATGATCCATTTAAAGCTATGCTGAAATATGGCATAGTTATAATTAATGTAGTGAAATATTGCATCCTGAGTTTATCCATATATTTTTAACTTAAAGCATGCATTTGAGTAGGCAAAAGGTTTTTAACTTTGATTTTCTTTGAGTTATTGTTAGTAAGAAGGGAAAGAGAACCATTTTGGTGTTCACATCTAGAGGTTGATGATTCTTTTTAAGCCATTAACATTTCAGCTGAAATGTTTGAGTGACTTCAGTTATCCACAGATGATAGACACAGTAAACTATAATAACTCTGTTTGGGTGTTAAGGAAATCTTTAATCCATGGATCATTGCCACTATATTCAGGAATGGCTTTTAGTTTAGTCAGAGAGCCTTTAGTACATAGATTCATGCACGGAATATAATTCTCGGAGCTATAATTTCTTAGCACACTTTCGATGAAAATCAGATACTGTGAAGAATTTGTTCATCTTAATGATACAGACAAGCTGAAGTAGTAGCTATTCCTATGCTTAAGAATGTAGACAAACACTTGTAATTAAAAGATATCTGTAGTGTCTTTCAGGGTCCAGTTAAAGGATCATTAGGCAAATTTTGAAATGAGTTTTTGAGCAAGGGGGAGGTAATGCAATTCCTGAGAAATGTCTAGAAGCCCAATGACAAGGAGTAAAGGAGCTCTGCATCTATCAGTGCCTTTGTTTAGTAAAATAACCACACTATTTGCTGTTCTTCTCATATTAAAAGTTAACTTTGTGATCTGCTTAGTGAACAATAGATGCTTACCACCTTTCTTTGCTTTTAAGAAATTAACAATGACAATAACATGTAAAATTTGTTCTGTAGAAGTCTAGTAAAAGTAAGTAAACAGTTCAAATTCAAATTAAAAATGGTGGCAGAGACGTGGGGAAGTATCTGTACCTGAGAGCATTGTCTAGGGACTTTATAGCTGAAACCAACAAAATGTTGAGCCACACAGACATTTTTGAGTAAATTGTCTTGTCATTACAGATACAAGACAATGGGTGGGAAAAAAAACAAAATAAAAACAGGCCATAACAAGTTAACCAATGATGGTGTTGTGTGTCATCAAGTCGATTCCAACTCGTAGCGACCCTATACGACAGGGTAGAACTGCCCCATAAGGTTTCCAAGGAACAGCTGGTGGGTTTGAACCGCCCACCTTTGGGTTAGTAGCCTGAACTCTTAAGCCCACTACGCCACTAGGGCTTCAGCCAATGATAGTCTTTCCAAAATATGAGTGGTCCATATTTTTTACCACAAGGAATTTCTGAAAAATCTTTATAAAGCAGGTTCTTATGAAAAATAATTGAATCTTCTCACATTAAGGAACACTGTAATGATTATAGCTTGTGAAGTCCAGCCAAGGACATAGCAGATAAATTATAGGCGTGTCCAAGTATCTCACAAAGGTGAAAATGGAAATATAAGCCTCCATGCTAACTTTGTTTTTCTGTAATTTTATAATAGAGAAAATATGTGCCATGACCTGTAAAACTAGAAAAAAAAACTAGCATTGGATCCACGATATTTTGCTGAGAATATTAGAACTAGAAAAGACTGGTACTTTTCAAGCTTTTAAAGTAGAGAAGCATTTTTTTAGAAATGAAATCTTAATTAAAACTCCCGTTTATAAAACTAGTAAAAGCAGAACCCCTCTGGCCCGCCAGCTTGGACTTCTCCTCCCTCTTGAAGATCCTCCAGAGTCGTCTCTGGTACAGATGGAAATTTTGAGACTCAGAGAATTTGTGTGACTTACAGAGGTACCCAGGCGTGGCATGCCAGATTTGGGACTAGAATCTAAATGTCCCATATCACAGCCCATTTTCCCTCAATATCATGCTGCCTTCTTTGCTGCTGTGTGTATGACTTAGGTATTTGGTCTTTCAAATTCAGTAGACCCTGGTGATTAGCTCTTTGCCTGGGACAAATTATTTAACAAAACCCAACTTTAAAAAGTGTATTTTTTAATATTAACTATAGTGTGACTAGATAATATTTCTTTTTATGTGATAGCCTAAGAAATTAAACCTTATTATTAAGTTGATTAACTTTAACTGTAATCTTTCATCAGAAGGTTTTTAAATTAAATTAATTTCGAACTAATATGTAGTAGGAACATTGACTTTCATAGCAGATTTGATACACCTGGTTTTCTTGTTGAATTTATGGCCCATGATTTATTTTTTTAATAGAAAAAATATAAATTTTGAGAGTACAATGTTTGGATTATCAAGCACATGTTAATGAAATTAAACTACTGTTTGTGTGTGTGTGTTATTGCTGTGTGTTGCTGCAGAAGTAGTTTGTTGTAAGTTATGGGAAAATGAGATGAGTAACAGAAGTGCACCTGTGTTTATTATGTATGTGTATTTGATGTTTTACTTTAAGCCCGTGTCCTTCATTCTGTTTTATTCCTTCCTTAAAGCCGTGTGACTCTGGGTCTAACAGACAGAGACAGGTACAGAGCTCCCAGTGAACTTTATTCACTTTTTTTGTTAGACTGATTTAGACGCAATCATTGGCAGCTTCATGCTGGGCTGTTTAGAAGTTGATGCACGTGTCAATGCCTTGGATTTATTTTAATAAGCTGCTTTCGGCCTTTGCATGGCTCCCAAGTCTGGCTAATCACTTCTAAGCTTATTTAATAAATTCACCAAAGACGATAGTGTTCTAAAGGGTAGTTTTAATCTACAGTACTTACAATATAAAATGACGTAGTTACCTCAAGGTAATTTCAATCTGTTTTTTAGCTTTATTTTTACCCAGGGAATTTCTGATTTGTGTGTATTTTGAAGCTTATATTTAACAGTTTAAACAAACTAACGTTTTCTGCATTCACTTTTTCATATTAGAAAATGTTTCTGATGTGCGATGAAATTATCTGTTCTTGACTTTTCACAGGCAAATTTCAAGTAAGAATGCATGGTAAACTCTAAAATGTTATCATTTGAATTATCTGTGTATTCTCAAAGTAATGTAATCAGTTTTCTATTAAGAATTTACCTACTGAATTATTGAATATTACATTTTGCTGTTTCCTTATTTTTGTACTGTTTCTCCTTCCTTTTATGAGATTTCCATCAAAAAAAATTATTTTGGTTACTGAGATTTATTTGGTGTCAAAATAATTTTATTAGATATGATGAATAATTTAGAAAAGACCTAGCGGACAATTACCATATCTCCTTTTTTCAGAGAAGCATATTGTTACACATTTTATTTATGTATTTATTTTAAAAAGGGATGTCTTGCCATCCATGTTTAATGGGATATTAAATGATCTATATTTAAATGTTATGGGATGCTCAGTTAAAATATTTCTCAGTGGTCAACTGAATCTTCAATAGATATGTTTATTTAAACAATGAATTTTGTCATAAAAATGATTCATAATCTTGACAGTGAATTTTTTTTTTACTGATTTTTAAATTTTGAATTCAGACAAATCAAGGAAATCAAAACAAAAGCTTTGAACACAGTTTTTTACTTTCACAGAATAGCTTGAGGTATTTGTTGATTTAGCCCTTGTTTTGATGAAGCCCAACTTAAATACTAACCCAAAGGTGGGCGGTTCAAACCCACCAGCTGTTCCTTGGAAACCTTACGGGGCAGTTCTCCCCTGTCATGTAGGGTCGCTAGGGGTTGGAATCGACGTGATGACACACAAAAGACAACAACATCATTGGTTAACTTGTTATGGCCTGTTTTTGTGATTTTTTAAAAACAACTTTTTACTTTAATTTTAGACTTAAAGGTGCAAAAATGGTATTTCCTTAATGGTAGCATTAAAATTGGTACAGTGTTATTAACTGAGCTACAGGCTTTGTTTGAATTTCACCAGTTTTTTTGCTAATGTCATTTTTCTGGTCCAAGGTCCAATCCACTTGCATTTATTTCTCCTTAGTCTTCTCCAGTCTCTGAGTTCCTCAGTCTGTCCTTGTGTTTTGTGACCTTAATTAACATTTGTGAAAAATAATAATTAAAAAGAAAAATGTTGCATCAAATTGATTCCGACTCCAAGCGACCCTATAGGACAGAGTAGAACTGCCCCATTGGGTTTCCAAGGAGCAGCTGGTGGATTTGAACTACTGACCTTTTGGTTAGCAGCCATAGCTCTTAACCACTGCACCACCAGGGCTCCTTTTGAAGAATACTGGTCAGTTATTTTGTATAATGTCCCTCAATTTGGGTTTCTCATGATTAGAAGAAGGTTATACATTTTTGGCAAGAATACCCCAGAAATGATATTTTTCCCTTCTCAGTGCATCACTCAGAGGGTTCATGATGTTCTTATGTCTTCATACTGGTGGTGCTAAGTAACCTTGATCACTTGGGTTAGGTGGTGTCTGCCAGGTTTCCACACTATAAGGTTCTTATTTTCCCGTTTGTGATTACTTTGAGGAGATGCTTTGAAACTATGCAAATATCCTGTTTCTGCTTAAACTTCTGTTCATTAATTTTAGCGTCCACCCATGGATCTTGTGTGCCGCCATTATTATTGTGGTGTTTGCCTAGTGGTGATTTTCTGTTTCCCTCTTCTACGTTTATTAATTAGAATTCTGTAAGGAAAAGCTGTGTCTTCTCCCTTGCTCATTTATTTATTCAGTTATTTACGTCAGAATGGTCTCGTGGATATTTATTTTATTCTATGGGTTATAATCTAGTACTTGATCAGATTGTTCACTGGTTATAATCCAGCGTTGAGCAAAATTTTCTTTGTGATTTTTGAACCAAAAATATGTAAACAAATATAAATGCATCCAGAGAGGAGACAGTTTGGGGAATAACAGCACTTGAAACATAGAATTGAAGATCATTTAAAAGATAAATATTATTCATCAGTGAAAAAGGAATGAGATAGTAATACATGCTGTAACATGGGTGAACCTTGAAAATATGCTGAGTGAGGAAGCCAGACTCATTTATATGAAATACCCAGAAATGCAAATCCATGGAGACAGACAGTAGATTAATGGTTGCCTAGAGCTTTGGAGCCCTGGTGGCACAGCAGTTAAGAGCTCAGCTGCTAACCAAAAGGTTGGCAGTTCAGATCCACCAGCCACTCCTTGGAAACCCTATGGGGCAGTTCTACTCCATCCTGTAGGGTCACCATGAGTCAGAATCAACTCGATGGCAACAGATAGAGCTGCGGGTTGGATGTTAGGGGGAACTGGGGAGTAACTGCTAAAGGTGTGGGGGTTTCTTTTTTGGATGATGAAAATATTCTAAAATTGATCATGTTGACAAATATACTAAAATACAAATATACAAAAAAACATTGAATTGGAAACTTTAAATGGGTGAGTTATATGGTATGTGAAATAGATCTCAATAAAGCTGTTTAAAAAAAGAAAGGATAAAAGTACGATTATTAAAAATTCATAGAAACCATTCTAAATTTCTATAGTAGGTAGTGGATCATTAATACTTTGAATATTGGCTACTTTCGCCGAGGCAGAAAATATAACCGTATAAGAGATTTCTTTTGAGTGAAAAATACCAGTATATTTACAAAGAGGTAGGTCACAGTGTGATGCTCCTAATAAATTCTCAACTAAATAGCAGAAATGACTTAAATGAAGAAAATACAACATCCCAAAATAAAAAAGAATAGAAGTAAACCAAGACAGATGGTAGTGTGAGCCCTCTGGAAACTGCTGGGAGAAAATAGGCCATTAATTGAGGGGAAAGAAGATGGTGGTTCCAGAGAGAGGGAACAATATTTATAAACACCAGAAAAAAGAGATGTAAAGAAAAGTTAGTCATCATGCATCATGAAGTAAAATTTTGTGTGTTTATGAACTAGTTCCTTTCCAGGTTTTGCTTAATCATTGGGTTATGTTGTTTTCAGGTATATTATAGTGTTAGCTAACTTTTCATATATTTAAAAGGTGTTGTAACTAAGTTTCAGTTATTTAGCAGTAATTCTAACCATATGTACATATTATTTTTGACTACTTGCTATTTGAACGCTATGCAGTTTCAAACTAAAGTATACCTAGAGGTGAGGGAATAGAACGTGTCCTTCATAGTTCTTTTCTAGCCCAGAAATTAAAACAATGAACTTTATCTTTCTGGAAAAAAGTAATTCCTTTGATGAAAATTAGCAGTTTTCAATGTGGTTTTAACTCTGTCAGATCCCAAACGTTTATTCTGTGATGCCCCACATCCTGGAAGAACTAACATCTGCAAAAAGTGCTTGCTACTTGTTTGGCCACGTAATTCATTACTACATTGAAAGGTACCTCTGTAGATACAGTTTTTTTAGGTTCTATAAAGAGAGTGAGGTGATGTTTTTAATGGTATTTCCTTACCATACTACAGACATCTGTTGTTTTTACTTTAATTTGGAAATGCATTGTTAATCAGGGTACTTCATAGTATAACTTCATGAGTTTTTCTCTGCCATGTGTCATCATATATCAGGTGTTAAATGCCATTCATACCCGTATTTCTTCCAAATTTATCTAGGGGTCAGGCCCAGCCTCTGGACCATTAATATCACTGAATTCAATGAATGTGGATGCAGTGTGTGAGAAACTAAGACAAATAGAAGGACTGGACCAGAGTGTGCTGCCTCAGTACTGTGCAACCATCAGAAAGGTGACATACACGTTTGCATGCTAACTATAGATGACTGAGGGTGCAGAAGACAGGGCTTGGATAATAGAGAGCTTGATCTTTAGCCGCTAAGGTGGATTCTCTGTTGAAAGGGGAAATCTCTAAATGGAAGCCTGATTCTTACTATTTTGTATCCTAAAATTGGACTACTATCCATTCTTTATTTTATAAACAAATAAAGTAGCTGTACTACAATGTTATTTTTTTTTATTATACTTTAGGTGAAGGTTTACAGAACAAATAGTTTCTTATTAAACAGTCAGTATGCATATTGTTTTATGACATTGGTTAACAACCCCACGACATGTCAACACTCTCCCTTCTCGACCTTGGAGGACTTTTTTTTTTTTTTTGGTGAAAATATACACAGCCAAAGATACACCATTTCAAAAATTTCTACACGTACAATTCAGTGACATCGATTACATTCTTCCAGTTGTGCTGCTATTCTCACTGTCCTTTCCCAAAGTATTCCATCACCATTATCTTCAGCTCACTGCCCCTTAGGCTTCCCATCAAACCTTTTGAGTTGCTGTTGTCAATTTGATCTCACATAGATAATTCTTTTTTTTTTGTACTTTAGGTGAAGGATTACAGAACAAAGTAGTTTCTCATTAAACAGTACACATATTGCCCTATGACAATGGTTAACAACCCCATGACATGTCAACACTGTCCCTTCTCAACCTTGGGTTCCCTATCACCAGCTTTCCTGTCCCCTCCTGCCTTCTAGTCCTTGTCCCTGGACTGCTGTGCCTTATTAGTCCCGTTTTGTTTTATGGGGCTGTCCAGTCCCCGGCTGAACGGTGAACCTCGAGAGTGACTTCTCCACTGAGCTAAAATGGTGTCCGGGGGCTATATACTCTGGGTTTCTCCAGTCTCTGTCAGTCCAGTAAATCTGTTTTTTTTGTGTGTGTGTTAGAATTTTGTTCTACCTCCTTCTCCAGTTCTGTCCAGGACCCTCTGTTGTGATCCTGGTCAGAGCAGTCAGTGGTAGTAGCCAGGCACCATCTAGCTGTACTGGACTCAGTCTGGTGGAGGCCTTGGTAGCTGTGATCCATTAGTCCTTTGGACTAATCTTTTCCTTGTATCCTGGTCTCTTCATTCTCCCTTGTTCCTGAAGGGGTGAGACCAGTGGAGTATCTTAGATGGCTGCTCACAGGCTTTTAAGACCCCAGACACTACTCACCAAGGTAGAATGTAGAACACTGTCTTTATAAACTGTGTTATGCCAGTTGAGCTAGATGTTCCCTGAGACCATGGTCCCCACAGCCCTCCGCCCAGCAATTCAGTCCCTCAGGGAGTTTGGAAGTGTCTGTGGAGCTTCCGTGACCTTTCCTTGTACAAGCTGTGCTGGCTTCCCCAGTATTGTGTACTGTGTTACCCTTCACCAAAGTTACCACTTGTCTATTTACAATGTTATTTTTTAAAAATGATCTAGTATAAGTTTAAAAAAAAAAAAAAATCCGTAATGAGGAATACAGAGCTCTAAGGGATTTATTTCACGTTTAGATTAATAATAACTCATCTTTCTAGTGCGGAACATAGAACATTTGAGGGCCTTCTCCTTTGTGTTACATTTTCTTTGATTTTAATGTTTATTTATATGACTTAGTAGTTATCACAGTAAACCACACTTGCTTCATTTTCCCCCACGTTCTCATTTTCATGTCTTAGAGAACTTACAATGATGTGACTTTTGATCAAATCTCATAGGTTTAGGTTGCAAGGCTCATGTGTGTGAGGAATTTTATTTTCTCCTAGATCTTATTCTTGCAGTTCTAACAGCTACCACACAGTTGGACAGTGATGCCTGGCATTGTGAGGAAGGTACTAAGTCGGGCTTTTTATATCAGAGTAACTATGGTAAAGTAGAAAATTATTAATAACAAGCCTTTAATGTTTACATAATTTAAAGAATGACATCTAAAAGAAGTTTTTAAAAGAATTACGAGCATAAATAGTTATAATTTTACTAGTCTTAACTGATGTTGAGTCAGAAGGGTTTCAGGTAACATCAGTTTTCTTATGGAGCTAGTTAGTGCTGATCTGTTTGCTTAAGAGTCAAATACCGCCTTTCTGATGCCCGGACCTCACTCTCCAAGCAACTAGGTTAGTGACAGGAAAGAGCGAGCTCTCCAGCGAGAGTCCTTTGTGGTGATTTTCTTGCATCTGTGCAGTGGTCTCGTCCCACTCCCTTCTTTACTCCCGGCCCTGGCTTTTTGAAGTCCATCATAACAACTGGTGTCTTTAGTAAGTGCAGCAAACTTGGCATTTTACAGCTGAGCTTCTATTGCAGGTTTGCTCTGTACACTTTTTTCCTTCAGAATCAACTTGGAAACTGAACATTCTATCTATTGCATAATTTTATCACAGTTAATAAAATTAGGTCTTAATATTTCATAAAGTCAATATGCTGTCTATTATTAATAAAGAAAATTCTGTTATTTCTTACTTGGGGGAAGCTAGAATTATAGAGATCCAACAGTGATAAGATTATTTCTGTGAAGTTAATAGACTTGGAAGTTAATGACTGAAGTGATCTAACATCACTGGTAGAGAAGTTTGTCAGAGCATTCTTCATTTAGGCCTTTGTCAGTGACTGACACTTTAAGGGGACAGAAGTGTTTCTCCCTTTCTAGCAGCTTGCGTTGCTGTTCATATTTTATAAGATTAGAGTAGAAAAACTAACAATTTGAAGTTGCTCGTAACAGCGTAGATAATTTTGGGGAATACTTGGGAGGATTAGCTCTTGGGTTGGCTCCTGAAGTGTGGTTTGTGTTTCTTGAATGCTTAAGATACTTGGAAAAGTATGGGTGGCTTATATTGTTCAAATTCAGCTTGTTTATTATTTACATAAGATGATAGCCTTTCTTTAGGCTGTTCTTTTCTAGTCTCTATTGACTTTCTTAAAATTAAATTTGAATGTACTTTTTAATCAGTACTAACTCAGATCTATTTCACATTTCGTTTGTCTTTATAATTTTTATTTTTACTCAGGCAAATATAAATGGCCGTGTGTTAGCTCAGTGTAACATTGATGAACTGAAAAAAGAGATGAATATGAATTTTGGAGACTGGCACCTTTTCAGAAGCACAGTAAGATACTTTATATTTATAAAATCGTATACAACATTGCATAAAACCAATGCCAATATAATTAGTACTGGTTTACACTGGTATTTTTTCCATATTTTAAAAAAAGTTTTAAAATTGCATTTTACACTAATGTAGAACCTGTTTTATGGAGAATATATGTGGCTGCACTTGACACCCTTTGCCCTTTGGGCATTTCAATCAAAAATTTAGAGGCCTCCCACGAATTCTCCAAGCTTTCACTCCAGTTGCATTTTATTTTGTTCTCAAGCTAAATTTTTTAACTATAATAATAACAATGGTCAAATTAGAGCATAGTATGTGTATGATGATTATTGCCATTGCTTATTTTAGTATTAATTAAAATTCAAGATAGGCAAATATAGTAACAATTCATTAGAAGTTCCCTCACAGGAAGTATGCTTTCTCATTTCCATTATACTAACTTCATAATGTTTTATTTTTTAAACTATTTCCAAAGCGTCTAAAATGTGATTTGTCATTGTGAATATTAATGATATTTTTTCTTTCATTAGGTACTGGAAATGAGAAATGCAGAAAACCAGGTCGTCCCTGAAGACCCACGTTTACTTAATGAAAACAGTGGTGGCCCAGTTCCTCATGGTGAACCTGCTCGTCGTTCTTCACACAGTGAATTGCCTCACACTGAGCTTTCCGGTCAAACTCCCTACACACTGAACTTCAGCTTTGAAGAACTGAATACGCTTGGCCTAGATGAAGGTGCCCCACGTCACAGTAATTTAAGTTGGCAGGTATTTATCAGTGTCGTATTTCATAGTACTGAAGAATAAGGGCAATAGTTAATTCACTGAGAAATTGTTGGTACATTTTTGCAGTTTTTCAGAAAATGTTAGTGAGTACCTAAGTGATCAAGATGGAGGACTCCCTGTTCTCATGGAGTTCTTCCATGAGACAGTCTTCCATGAGACAGGCAGTAAAATAAAGAAAAAAGTAAGATTATTTCAGAAACGGATAAGAACTGTGAAGACAGTAAAATAGGGTAATGGCATAGAGAACCAGCCTATAAATAGGACCTCGGCTACTTTAGTTATTATGGTGGCTAGGACAATTCAGTTTTTCTCTTGCTGTTTGCCTATTAAATTCAATTCATTAATCATTGACTAAAATACTTCCATAGTTGAAAGCTTACCACATAAACTTGAGCACCATAATTAGGTTTTTCAGTACATAAATACATTTTATATGGATATTTGTTTTTTTTTTCTTATTGGATGTTAGATACAGGTAAGTTCTTTCTCTGGATGTTCACTAGAAGAGGGAGGCCAGGTGAAGAGCAGGAATAGCAAAAAAAAGTACGAGAAATATGAGAAGGAGTAAGGGAAGAATAAAAAGGAAAGTAAACTAGCAAAAAGACAGCAGGATACAAAAAAGAAGACAAGCAAGGGGGACAGCAGTAAGGAGCTCCATATTAAAAGGGAGCAGTAGTTAGCAAAAGCAGTGCTTGGTGCTGCTAACGTTTTCAAGAGGTTTTTGTTTGGTTTGGTTCCTAATTAGAATTTTTTTTTTTTTTTTGGTATTTGTCTTTTTCATCATACTATCTACCTAGTTTCTTTACGTTGGGGAGCTTAATAATAAGCTTATTATTTAGTATTGATTATTATTTTTTAATTCCCTTATTTTAAAACAAGATAAGTCTGTACTTCATCCTTTTGTCTGTTCCAGTAACGGTAGTTCCTTTCTTTTCCCTAAGATTCCTTTTCAAATTTATTAAGTCCTCTCCTCAGCTTTTCTTTACTTGGCATTTCCTACTATGACCAGAAATTCAGACCCTTCTCGTTAGCGCAGAAGTTCTCAAATGTTTTTTAATCTCAGCATACCTTTACGCTATTTAAAATTACTGAGGACACCAGAGAGCTTTGTTCATGTAAGGTGTAGTAGCTATAGGTATTTACTGCATTGGAATAAAAAACTGAGAAATTTAAAAATATATTTATTTATTCATCTGTGTAAAAATAAACCAAATTATGTGTTAACATAAATAACATTTTTATGAAAAATAACTATATTTTCCAAGACAAAACAAAATTTAGTTAAGAATGGTATTGTTTTGGAAGTGTCTTTAATGACTGACTTAGTAGACAACTAGATTCCCATATCCGCTTCTGCATTAAATCTATTGTGATATCACACATCATGTAGCCTCTTGCAAACGCCACTGTACACTTGTGTGAAGATGAGAGTGAAAAAAAACCAAATAATTCTCATGATGGAGCCCTGGTGGCACAGTGGTTAAGAGTTTGGCTGCTAACCAGAAGGTCAGCAGTTTGAATCCACTAGCTGCTCTTTGGAAACTGTATGGGGCAGTTCTACTCTTTCCTATCAGGTCACTGTGAGTCGAAATTGACTCAGCCACTACGAGTTTGGTGTCATATTCTTACAATAATAGCTTTGACCACGTGGATCCCCTGGAAAGGGGCCTCAGAGACCTTAAGGGGTGCGCAGACTGCATTTTGAAAATGACTGCATTGATGGATGAATGATGGCACTTAGCCAGATTGCAGAGGACGTTCTGAAGGAAGAGAGAACATTTCCTCCCTATACAAGACTTTGCCTTGCTTCTACTTCTTTGTTTTCTTTTGTCTCTTAAGCTTCCTGGACTCTTTCTTCCATTTCCTTCTTCTTTTTCTTAATCTGTACTTTTCTACCCCTCATTTAGTAGCTTTTCTGGGATCTAAAACAATCCTAATCCTAAAACTTCATGTTGGAATCAAACTTTTAAAAATATTTCATTTCTCTATTTACTAGGGCCCAGCTGTTGGCCTCAGTTCGCTTCTATTCATTTGGATCCTTTATAAATCTTATTACACTCTATTCCTTTTGAATTCTTTTCTTTAAAAAAATATATTTTCTTTGAATACGTTGTCTTCCCCTGAATTGAAATTTGACAGAAACTTTGTCATACAACTTGAGAAAGGGTCCTTTAAAGCATATATTGAAGACTTGAGTATTTTGTTTTTGAGATATACCTTATCTTTCTTCTTCTGTCTCCCAAGAGGAAATTTTATATTTTATTAATGGAGGTGTCCATTGCCTTAAATAAATAAAAATTGAAAGTCTGAAATTATAAGAAGACAAGTGCTAAGATTATTTAATACAACCTTTAATTATACTTTTAAACATTAACAATAAACTTATTTCAATTCCTATAAATTTTTCTAGGAACAGTAGAATTATAAGTTCATAGCTTTTATTAGACTGTGTTACATCGAATTCTTCTATAAGTACTTGATATTTTGAGGACTTTTTTTTATTCTTAGTGTAAATATGTGCTTTCTGAACTGATGCTTATTATCTTTTTTTTTTTTTTGCTTATTTGAATTCTTAATTCTTTTTTTTCTGTCTTTACAGTCACAAACTCGCAGAACCCCAAGTCTTTCAAGTCTCAATTCCCAGGATTCCAGTATTGAAATTTCAAAGCTTACTGATAAGGTACAGGCTGAGTATAGAGATGCCTATAGAGAATATATCGCTCAGATGTCCCAGTTAGAAGGGGGTGCAGGTTCTACAACAATTAGTGGCAGGTCTTCTCCACACAGCACATATTATATGGGTCAGAGCCCATCAGGGGGCTCCATTCATTCTAATCTGGAACAAGAAAAAGGGAAAGACAGTGAACCCAAGCAAGATGATGGAAGGAAGCCATTTGTAATGAAGAGGGGGGATGTTATAGATTATTCATCATCAGCTGTTTCCACTACCGAGGCCTCACCCCTGGATCCCATCACTGAAGAAGACGAAAAATCTGATCAGTCAGGCAGTAAACTTCTTCCGAGCAAGAAGTCCTCGGAAAGGTCAAGTCTCTTCCAGACAGATTTGAAGCTTAAGGGAGGCGGACTGCGCTATCAAAAACTTCCAAGTGACGAAGATGAATCTGGGACAGAAGAATCAGATAATACTCCATTGCTCAAAGATGATAAAGATAAAAAAGCTGAAGGAAAGATAGAGAGAGTGTCAAAATCTCCGGAACACGGTGCTGAGCCTATTAGAACCCTCATTAAAGCAAAAGATTATTTATCAGATGCACTCCTTGACAAAAAGGATTCCTCAGATTCAGGAGTGAGATCCAATGAAAGTTCTCCCAATCACTCTCTTCACAACGAGGCGGCTGATGATTCCCAGCTTGAAAAGACAAATCTCATTGAGCTTGAAGATGATAGCCACAGTGGAAAACGAGGAATACCACATAGCTTGAGTGGCCTTCAAGATCCAATTATAGCTCGTATGTCCATTTGTTCAGAAGACAAGAAAAGCCCTTCCGAATGTAGCCTGATAGCCAGCAGCCCTGAGGAAAGCTGGCCAGCGTGCCAAAAAGCCTACAATCTGAATCGAACACCTAGTACCATGACTCTGAACAATAATAGTGCTCCAGCTAATAGAGCCAATCAAAATTTTGATGAAATGGAAGGAATTAGGGATACTTCTCAAGTCATTTTGAGGCCCGGTTCCAGTTCCAACCCAACTGTTATTCAGAATGAAAATCTAAAAAGCATGACACATAAACGAAGCCAACGCTCAAGTTACACAAGGCTCTCAAAAGACACTTCAGAGCTCCGTGCAGTAGCCTCTTCTGACAGTGCAGGGTTTGGAGAAGAAAGAGAAAGCATTCTTTAAGACAAACAAACAAAAGTATAATAGTATTCTTATACCCCTATGACAAAATTTCCCTGAGTTTTATAGTGGCTCCATCCATGCACATCATCTTTGTGCATTTCATTCACAGATAATTAACCATTGATAAGGCCTTTAGTGAAAGAGAGAGTCACATATTATACAGCAGAGGAAAGTATAAGAAATGATTCATTAACCAGCCTCCATCTTCTTTGTAATTAGAAACTTAAAAATTCACTATTATTATTACACCTCTCATTGGCACATAACCCTATAAAAATTTTTTGAGATGAGATCTGGTAAAAGATCAGAAATACTTTATTAAATTTAAAGGGCTTAATTTACCAAAGAAAATAAAAGGCTAGAGATTCTTTTTGTAGGACATTCATTCATCAGATATTTGAGGGCCTGCTGTGTAGAAGACATGGTGTGAGATGAACCAGAAGCGAATTTCGCTCTTAAGGGTTTTAATCTATTTAGGTTAGAATTTACAGATCATGAAGTAGCTCAGAGACTAAAGGTAAATACTTACAAATTGAGAAACCAGTGTTCTCTGTAATAGACAAATTGCTTATCAAAGAGATTTTAAATTTCAAGTAAAAAATGTATAATTAAAGAGGGCTTTAAACATTGATAAGAAGGTACAAAAAATTGAAAAGAAAGTCAATCAACAGTGCTCGAAGTGGATCCCCAGTAACTTGGGGCCATTATGAACTACTATGAGAGTGACCTGGTAGAGGGGCCAGTAACCTCCATGTTACACGGACACTCTCAGAATCGCAGACCTGGCTTGTACCACCATCCTTATGTACCCAAGAACCCATCCTGGTCGGCTCTGCCACTCTTTCAAATTGTGTGGCCAGCTTTTTTTAGTGAAACCAGCAATGAGATTTCAAAAAGCATGAATTCTTTCTCTGGAGAGTCAGACATGGATAATAATAAGCACTAATAAATATTTATGGCATGAGTGAGTGAGGAAATAATTACATCAGAGAGGTCTATGACAATTCAAGGAAATAATTAAGTAAAACTAAATCATTACTTTCTATACCAAGGCAAAGTTTATCTACTTCACCTATTCCTAAATCAGCACATTAGTTTTGGAGGAGACTCATAAGGGAGAAAATCATAACCTTTTTTTTAAGAGTTAAATGTAACCAGGAATAAAAAAATATACAGCTGGTGTGACTGTAGGACTTTATAGGTTCCTTTAATTGTCAACAGAGTTAAAAGAATGATCACACTTAAGTATTGTGTAGATTAGAAGTGTACCCTCTTCTCATGCAGTGAGAATATTTTGTCTTTTTAAATGTAGCTTATTTATGTAGAATTAATTCTGGCAATAAGTCACAGATAGAACGATTTTAGGTGGTGAGGTTGTAGATGTATGATTATCTAAATTTAGTGCTACATTTGTATGTTTCTCACTTAATGGAGTTTTATTAATATACTGAATAAATTATTTACTTGACCAGTTATTGCACTAAATAGTTGCTCTCTTGTGTTTCGTTGCTTTGATGTCTAAGTGTAACCTAACAGTTTCATAAAGTATTTATTTTGCATGACCTTTAACAAGTGTTTTAACCAATTTTTTAAAAAGGCAGGATGTTATTGACATGATACATTGAAATGTTAACATTTTCATATTTATCGTGTTTATTTATAATATTGTATAACTAGTAATTATTTCTGAAGCAATATTTTATTCCTTGTCAGGTGAGTAGATGCAGTTTAATATCATTGCAGTACATGCATTATACTGTTTGTGGAATTCATATTAGATTATTAAGTGTACAAATAGATTTAGAAAACAATAAAGTAGCATGCTATTCTGACTCATGAATTTTTATTCACTGCAGTGATGATTCAAATTTTGATTAAAAATTAAAAAGTGATTGTGTGTTTTTGTTTTGTTTTTAGTTTGTTTTTTTGTCATATCTCTAATGTTTGTTAAAGACCTTTGTAGCAGTTACCCAGCTGCCAGGACCCTGACTGTTCTGAGCTGCCCCGCTAGTGTTCTTGAGAGAACTTGGCTCTTAATTCCCAACGCCTGCGTGGTGCTTCCGTGAACTAGTGTCAGCAGCACAACTCTCTGCATTTCTGTAGCTATCAGAAGTAGGTCACCAGATCCTGGAAGGATACCAATTTAATTATTACATGTACATTTTGGAAGAGTCTGCTTTTTCGTCCTGATACAGAAGCTGACAAACGGGATGGGTTATTGAGTCATTCCGTCATCCCTTAGAATCTGTGTATATGTGTGTGTATCTTACATGTGCTTATGTACATAGTTCTGTCTGGTTGTCATGTATGCAAAACTCTGCCTTAAGCTGGATGAAAAACGGATGAAAAGACAATTGGCGCTCTAATCTTACTCTGTTTCCTTCGATTCTGCATCATTTAGAGTCTTACCATATTTTATAAACCATTTGACCTTCACTTTAAGCACCAGATGGTTCTCTTATTGTAACATAATATTAAACTATGCCTGGTAGCTTAATATTAAGTCCATCTACCTTGGCAGTATAGAGGGGTACCTATTACAGCCTTTCTGCAGACTAAAATGAAAAGAAGCCATTGATACGTCTCAATTGCAGTAACTTTCACACGGCTGGATATTTAAGTATCAATTCTCACATTCTGGGAAGATTTAAGCATTCATTACTAAACCAACTTTCAATATTAGCAGAAAAATGTGTCTTCCTGTTATATTGTACTTACTGGAATTTTATTTACTGGTCAGAATAATTTAATTGCCTAGCCAAATAATTTTAGAAACTGACTTGCTAAAATTCTCGTCTTGAGAGCTCTTGAGATCATTTGCATGTTATAGTGCTGCGGTAAAATATCCTTGTAATCATGTTTTTTTTTTACTTACAACTACTAACCATTAGAAAAATTTTTTTTAAATAAAATTAAATCCTTCTGGCTAAAACACTAAATTTAAAAGGTCTTAAGACCACATAATTTTTTGTTATACCAGGAATTCTCAGCCTATTTAGAAGTATCACAGAGTTTTAAAATCCCTGAATTCCAGGCTAACGCCTGAATAAATCAATATAACTACCAGGAAAAGAGAGAACTAGAGAACACTGTTTCCCTTAACCTAATGGGTGAGTGGTAGTAAGGGAATAACAGGTGCTATACAATTAATTCCTTTGGAAAGCACTGGACTACTCAGAGACGAGGCTCTTGTGTCCCCACTTGCCCTTCTAGACTGACTTTAACACAGCAAAAGGGAAGAAACCAGTGGGATACTTATTTGCTTGGGGCAAGGGGTAGGCAGACCTGGGTGGATGATCTGAAATGATTCAGTTTTTAATTTCCAGATGGTGGTACCTCCTGCCTTGCCTACTTCAGATTTTTAAGTGTAGGCCATGATTATGCCAATGAATTGAAAAATAGAAATTTATATATAACAGTGAGCCAGCACTGGATAGTCTTCTAATGGCTCATCATTTGGCAAAGGTTGAGAATCCTTGGTTGAGACTAATTAAGAAGAAAGAAATCTTGATGTCTTACATAATTGGAAACCCTTTCATGCCTAGGAAGAAAATGCTGCCTTTGAGATAGATAGTTCTTCAGAGGATGCATCCATATTAAACTAAGGTATGTGAAAAATTAGTTTTCAAAGTCAATTAGTTTTAAGACAGCTGTTGAGACCAGTTCTCACCATTTAAAGAATTTATGTTCTCACCACCTTAAGAAATCAAGTTAAGTAAGAAACATATGAAGTGATTGTTAGAAATTAACCACTGTCACCTACATGGTCGAAGCGTTTCAATTAAATTTCTTAGTAAGGCCACAGCCGTGGTCAACAGCATCATCAGAGCCTGTTTAGCCACACACGGGTCTGTGCTGTGGGTGAAATGTTTCATAACAAGGGCTTTCTGGAACTTTGAATAGTAACACTTTTTGAATGGGACCTAGGTGGCCACAGGAGAGGCACTGTCCTGAATTTCTAGCATGGTGAGCCACTTTGGGAAAGTAAGAATTTATAAGAATAAGGAAGGGAAATTATTTCCAAACTCTTAGTCAGATGACGCTTTAAAGGTCAGTGTCAGTGAAAACCAACCCAAAAACCAACCCAAATGATCAAAAGCATGCCTTGCATAATGGTGTCAAACAAAGGCAGAGTTCCTGTTTTAAAGCTACAAAATACTTTGAATCAAACAGCAGTTGTTTGTTTACAAAGACTAAACCTAAGTCCTTAATATTCTTAGGTTAAATACGCTTTTTGCCGTATTATTTACGCTAGTGATAGGTATTAGGAGCCCTTTCTTAGCCTTGCCAGGATTTAACAAAATGTAGCGTAATACATCAAACTGAACTATAAGCAGTTGAATAAGTGAAATTTTACTTTTAAAATAAACAGTATAGAACTATGTTCCATATCATTCAAATTGAAGTAATGGAGACAGTCTCAATTATCCACTACCGTTTTCTCTTTGTAATGTGTATTTTATACCTACTTGCCTCATTTTCTTTCAAGGCAACCAGGGCTCTAATCCTAGTACCCTGCCCATAGACCCAAGCAGTGTTGCTTTCTCCTTCCTACTGACATTTGGGTTAACTTCTCACAGTTGACTTCCTCACCAACTCTAAGAGGGCAAAGAAGACCCTACCGTCGTTCAGAAATCCTGCCATCCAGCTGATTGGGGAAAAGAGCTGTGTTCACCTGTACCAGTTTTCTTTGTTCTCAGCAGTTATAGAATTTAAATTAGCCTTCATGAAGTGTTCCTGTTATGAAATTTTAGATAAGGGCTGAAATCTATAGCAAAAAGCATGCACATAAGCTCTAGGTAACCTGATATTTCCTGTCTTCCAGCATCTCCTTGGTCAGATGCCTAATAAAAAGCTGAATTGTTATTTTCAAAATTATCATAGTTCCTGATACTTAAACTTTTTAAGCTATGTTTCTGAGAATTTGTAGGCTGCATATTATATTTAATGCAAATTAAAGTCTTTATTTTTAAAGAAATTTTCTTTTTGAATTCTTTGTCTTTTTCCCCTGTCCATCCTTCACCTGCTTAAGTTCTTTTCACTCTTTTTGTGCCTTCACTTTTTTTACGTTATCTGTGTGCTCATCATATTTCACCATAAAACATTACTTAAAGCAGTAGAATGGGAAAGAACCTCAAGACCGCTTTTAGACCAGATCTCAAATTTCAGATAGCCAGTAGATATTCTGGTTAACAAATACTTGCTAAATGCGTATATCTAAACGGGGGGCACCAAACAGGCAGAGTCCGCTCACAGATAGCTTTAGTGTCTTAAACTTAGTGAACATAGTTAACACTGCTTTTGTGCTATAGTTCCTTGCGGGTTCCATCCTTCCCTGTCACCTTATATCTGCTTGGTTACCTGTCTGGCCCCCTGTAAGCTTTTCTGTTGTTGACTCTGAAATCTCTCAAGACACATCATGCGTTGTTGAAAACTCCCAGAGAAGGATGTCTGCAGCCCATCTTGATACGCTTTATCGTTCTCAAGTGCCAGTCTGTACATTCTCCGTAGATGTATGTTAAGATCCTCTTGTGTACTTTAGGAGCCCTGCTGGCACAGTGGTCAGGAGCTTGGCTGCTAACCAAAAGGTCAGCAGTTCAAATCCACCAGCTGCTCTTTGGAAACCCTAGGGCAGTTCTGCTCTGTCTTACAGGGTCATTATGAGTCAGAATCGACTCAACAGTAACAGGTTTTTGTGTGCTTTAAGCCCTCTATTTAGTCCTTTGTGGAGGTGCCCATCTTATAAATTCATAAAATTCTACAATCAAATTACATTAAAATAGTTCAAGTCTAAGTTTTACTTTAGGATATTGAAAATGTTTTCAGGTGTAATTTAGCTCTGGTGAGCAAGTTTTCTCTGAGCCCCAGATGAGGATACCTGATTATAATGAGGACCATCACAGAAAACCTGACACGTAGGCTTCCCCCATCTGTAGCCCAATTTTTCGACCTTGTAATGTCAGTCATGAATTTCACTGATAACCCCTAATCACTCCCTAGCATTCTCTAGCTCATATACCACTCTGATAAATTTGACCTAGAATAAGCACGTGACTAAATTTTGTTCAAATACCTGTTATACTGGATTCAATATTGAATACATGTGAGTGGGCCACTGTGTGTTCTTTGAAAATGTCTTTATTATGTTAAGGTAGGCTCACGACTGTAACAACAGTCTCCAAATCTCACTGACTTAATGCATTTGAAGTTTATTGCTTGTTCATGTAACAGTTCAGTGTTACCTAAGTTCACGTACAGACTTGGGGGCTCAGGTTCCTTCATCTTGTGGCTCCACCGCCCTTTCAGACTTCAGAATCTTCCGCCTCAGCTGCTGCATTCAGTCAAATACACAGGGGAAGAGAGTGGAGGATCATGCATGGGAAGTTTTTACTGGCCAGGCCTAGAAGCATGTATACATCACCTCCCCCCACACCCCATTGGCCTTCCTAAGTTACATGGTCATGCTGAACTGCAAGCGAGGTTAGGAAATTAGGTTAAACTATTTGCCCTGGAGGAAAAGCAGACAGATTTTGGTGAGCCCATAGGGGTCTTTGCCACTTCTGTACTTGACGTGGATTATCTGTGGCAGATTAAACATTGTGACTCGTCTTTTAAATTTCAGCGGCAATTAGTCGTTTGTCGACATCTCTCTTAAATTTTACTTTGTATGCAGTTTTCATTCCAGTAGTGCGGTGTGTTAAAATCATAACCCTTAACCCAGAAGGGTTTTAGGGGAGGGTAGTTTTCATACATCTGGTTCTTTCCATACATCTGAGAAATGTAGAGTGGGTTTTAGGGAGACGTCAGCATTTGTATTACAGACTTTCTGTTG